CCTCAATTCCTTCTATAGCTCCTCCAAGCTGCGTTTAATCTCTCTAGCTTGTGAATATTACATTAACATTAGTTCAGCTTTATGTTATCAACCATATATCCTCGTACACAGATATTTAGTTTTCGTTATTGTTCAATAATCAGGTCTTTTCAGTTATTGAGCGAAAATATATTTCACTATAAGTTCTGTGGAATATGTCTTAACATATTTTGTAACTTACTTCTGGGCATAATCTAGTGAAGAAAAAAAAAGTTTTAATGTGCTTGGTTGCCAGTAGATGCCAGTAAAGATTGTTTTATCAAGTTCAAGGCCTTTAATTTAGGATCGGCTCATGACAGGTTCCAGATCTAGATTTCTACATCGGCTAATTTACGCCAAATTTCTCGAGTTATAGTAGAACAGATAAAAAGTTTCAGTTCATCAATTTAAAATAGTTCACAAGAAACGAAACAGTCGTTGTTCATGTATTTGATGACATAAACATTGTCTCGATCACTACTATGTCATATCTCAACCGGTCTGATAAGCCGTGGTGTTAGGCGAAAGGTCTCGTCGTTACTGTACAGAGCAGCTTTTGTGCAGTTGAGATTTTATTACATCCTTCTTATTCATTTTCATTCGTGAGTTTTTATAATTTGTCAAAATGTTTCTATAAATAACTTTAATCTCATTTATAAGGTTTCATTACTGACATATGGTGAAATGATTGGACATTTATCTCTGGCTTCAATTCTGAATATATATATATATATGTTGATTTGTTTTATAAAAATACAGTGAATGAGTTTTACTTGAGGACTTACAATACACTTATAACACACAGCATGAATTAGTATATAATAAGCAATGCCTCCTTTTTCTTGGTTAACTTTTCGATCGTGATTAAATTTTTTAAAGGTGAAACCTACTATCATTCATAACAATAGAAAATATAAACAAAAAATGAACAACTATAAAAAGTATATTTAAAATCATATAATAAAATTTAGTTGTTCGCTTTAGAATTATTATTGACAGGAACTGCATATTATTGCCTAGGAAATCTTCAATCAGATATTTCAAATGTTCATAATACCTAAAACTTTCTAGGTGATTTCGAAGAATATTGTATTTAACTTGAATTGTTCAAGTAAAATGCTTTAAATATATTTAAGAAGATAATATGGCGAGACACGTTTTTACCACAGATGCAGCAGTTTTAACATAATTTTACAGAAATGTGTGCAGTATTGGTTTGTTAATAACTTATTATATTATTCTTTCTGGAATTTTAAGGGTAGACAAATTCTAGCAAGCAAAATGTGACGGAAAGCTGTAATATTAGCTGAAAGACTCCGCTATGTTTATTTGTTGCAACACTCTGTTTAGTTAAAGATAACTGAGCTTCTAAAACATATTTCGTGGTCCACGTTCTTCAGTTGGACTCAAGTGATTAAACAGTTCAAATTATTTCCGTGTTCGAATTTGAAGGACAACTGTTCTATCGCTGTCATTATTTATATTGGATAAAATGATATTTTCGTAATTAAGATGATGGATAATATATTATTAGTTTATCTTCATAGTACAGTACATCAGCACTTGGGCTGAAATCAGTAATCATCGACGTAAGTATTAATGCTCACATGTGCTTTGTTTTATATTTTTCTGTTATTTCACATACTTGAAAATAATAAAATAAAATTTGTAAAGTATTAATGTATTTAATATTCAAAACATTTTAATAAATTTAACTTTAAATCATAAAAAAGAATTTAAAAATACATGATTATTACACTAACGTTAGTTCAGTTTTGTATTAGAAACAATTCAACGATAATCCTCGTACACAGATATTTAGTTTATGTTATTGTTCAATAATCAGACGTCTTTAGTTATTGAGCGAAAATCTATTTCACTATAAGTTTTGTATAATAAACGCGCTCTGCAGACTGAGGCCATGGTTGCGCTCTAAGAGTGACAATTAAATCCCACTATTCAGTCAGAAAAAAGCAGCTCGTGAGATGGCAATGGATTCTGTTGACTAGCTGCCTGCCCTCGAGTCTATCTATCAGATCAAGAATAGGAACGGTTGTGCGGAGATGGCTGTTGTGTATATATTTGCATTAATATTCTAAATAATCAAACAAGATACTTTTGAAGTTATTGTTATTACAAATACAACAGTCACGGCTAAAGTAGAAGCTTTTGCTATCGGTAGTTTACCAAAGATAATCTGTATTATATTTACAGTACTTAGAAAATGAAGATTATTTTAGGACTAAGTAATGATAGTATACATGATAAAATGCCTCAAATTTTAAAGTAAACCTTGATGGAAAGAAAAGTACTCAAACACTAACTGAAGAACTAAGAGAGAATTTTAAGATATTTATGGTTTTATATTTAAAAAGTGGGAGGATTCCACTCTTAATTCATTTTACATCGAACAACATCAACATAAAACTGGCAAGACTTGCTGGAAATGAAAGTATACGTATTTATATATTTTTTATTTATGTACAAATTGCAAAGTTTTTTTCAAACACTACATTCATTATTATTGGAAGAGCCGAAATTATTAAAAAATTACAGTGCTTCATGAAAAATTCTTCTTGTTTTTTTTTACTTTTTACTTGTTTATTATATATTACAAGATGAGTAAATTGTGCGAGGTTACAATGCAACTGTAACAATGCAACATCTTCATGCAGTATAATATTGAGAATGCTGTGTTAAATCTGGATAGTTTCTGGTCATACATTATATTCTGCATCCTGTTCAATATTAACCGCTCAGTGTCTTTTTACATACTATTTTAAACTTCAAAACAGAAAACTAAATCTACTCTGAAAACAGGGGGAGGACCCTACTTTCCAACATTTTATGTTTTTTGAGAACCCACTGTCATGTACAAGTAATTCGGATTTCGTATTTTGGCTTTTAAGTTTAGAAGTTAGAAAATTCTGAAGAGGAAAAAAGCTTAGTTGAATTTTGAAGTGGAGATTGTAGCAAAAGTTGAAATGTATTTTTGACCTAAGGATACACTTTAGAAATTAAGCTGCTTGTATTAAATTTAAAGCATTTTTTAAACTTGCATATAATAAAAACTGATATTTTTTTGTGTAGAGAGAGAGAAGCGTCAGCCGTTTGAAGAGTCAGATGGAGAGCCTTGGTGTTGACCTTGAAAACAAGGAGGTACTGGACATTTTGTGGCTACATTTATTACTTGTCTATAGTTTGTAGATGAGTTACATAAAACAGTGTTATAGGGTAAGCTAGCTGGTCACAAGTGATGATTATTTAAGGTTTTAGTAGTATATTTTATACCCGTGATTGATGGTCTGTGATGAACAAAGTTTCACCAACTCTAAGACTGTTAGTCTGTGAGGAGAGCCAAAATGCTGAGACCTGATCTGATGGGTACTTTAGTATGAAAAATAAATTACAATTTTAAGTTATTAGTCAATGTATATACAATAAATTGGTAAAACTGGGTAATATGTGCATACAAGTAATTTAAAAAAAAATAATTTTTAAACAACCTAGTTCGTAAAGCTACAAGTTAACACTTATTAAGGTTCTAAAGCATATTTTAACAGCTACCAAAGACGTCTTAACCTAAGCTGACAAGCATAAATGTTTAATCATATTAAAAATTTATATATGTATGTAAAATGTTTGAAAGCACTTATTTCCTTTTAGGCACACTACATTGAAGCATCAGAATCAAGAAGACAAACTCGTGGTGTGAAAAGGAAACGAGTAGACAGTGAAGGCACAGTCCGAAGTAGTTCAAAACTCCCACGTGATAGGTCTGGAGTCAAAGATGTCAAGGTAACAACTGCAAATATAAAGTTAATTTTATTATTCTTATTAAAATTATTACTTAATTTTTTTTACCTGCATTTAGGATATGCAGTATTCATTTGTTGAAAAATTATGAAGGGTGACCAGTAGATTTAGTATACAATAACATTGGGTGGGGAAAATGTGCTCTTAAATATAGTTGTACCTCTGTTTCTGCATTTATATTAACAACATTAAAGTAATAAGTGTATATTACTAAAAGTCATGAAATGTGTAAGGCAAAAAAATTTTTAATTTGTATATCGTATGTGGACATAGCGCTTTAGACCGTTGAAAGGGGAAATGTGGGAATTTGATATGTATTTCATACCACGAGATTCAGAGGGTAAAAAAAAGGGGGGCTTTTCTTTTTAGAATGAAAGAAAAGGAAACAATTGATTATTAAGAGGTGAGGATCCCACTAGATCATTAAATATAATGTTTAAATCAGCTTTACAGTGAAAGTGTGTTTTTTATGTAAGTAAAACTGCAGTATATCAGCCCATAGGAGCTGGCCTCTTTCAGGAAACATATGATTAAAAATAATTACAAATTTAAGAAGTAATAGATGTTCTTAGCAGTGCGTATGTTTAATTATAATTATTTGACATAGGTGGTAACAATTATTTTTTTAAAAAATGTAAAGTACAAAAGACATATAAAAGTAAAACGTGTAGTGTAGGAGTATAATTAGTAGAGATAGAGGACTTCTAGGATATATGTTCATAGTTTTAATTTTTTGATCAGTGTAGTTTCTCTAGAAACTCTGAATATCTGGATGTCAAGTGTCACGGTGGAAGTTGGACTAGGCTGACTGGCCGTCTTTCACCTCTTTCTCTGAACTTGATCCTGCATTTGTCTGTCTGCCATCAATAGATGATTGTGTGGTTGCAGTGACTGACTGTATTGTCCAGGCAGCTGCTCATTTTGTTCCTAAGACCTCGACACGTTTTCCACAGTATCCTCGTCCATGGTGGCGTCCTGCATTCCAGGAGGCACAGAAGGCTCAAAAACGGGCCTGGGATACCTTCCGACTGTATCCCTCTCTTTCTAACCACATTGTTTATCAGCGGGCCTGTGCCCTTGCTTGGCGGGTTTGACGTCAAAACCAAAATGAGTCTTGGATTAAGTTCACTACTAGCATCCCTTCTACCACCAGTTCCATCTTACTCTCCAATGGCCAGGAAGTTGCTATTGTCCAGAGCATTGCTGATGCTCTCGGACACAGCTTTTCTCGTGCTTCTAGCACTTCAGTTTCTTCCCCTGCCTTCTTGGGCAGAGCAATCGTCTCTAAGATTATAATCGTCCCTTTCCACTGGTGGAACTCAAACTTGCTCTTCGTCAATCGAACCTGATGATGTTCGTTATGAGATGTTGTGCCATCGCTCTTCTGCCTCTCTTGCTGTTCTTCTGGTTATTTTTAACCGGATCTGGCAGGAGCATGTTTTTCCTGATGCTTGGTGCCAGGCTATTGTCCTCCCTTTCTCTAAACCTGGGAAGGATCCCAAGATTCCTTCTAAATATTGTCCCATCGCTTTGACTAGTTGTCTTTGTAAGGTCCTAGAAAGGATGGTTAATCCTCGTCTTGTTTGGTTCCTGGAATCTAACACGCTCCTCTCACCCACCCAGTGTGGGTTCCGTCAACAGTGCTCCACCATGGACCAACTGATTCGATCTGAAACGTCTGTCAGGGAAGACTTTCTCAAGAGAGAACACCTTGTTTCTGTGTTCTTCGATCTCGAAAAGGCTTATGACACTACGTGGAGGTATGGAATTTTGCGGGACCTCCACTCCTATGGGTTGTGTGACCATTTACCCATTTTTATTCAAAATTTTTTACTGGACAGGCGATTCCAAGTCTGTGTGGGTTCAACTCTTTCCCGTTCCTTTCCACAGGAACTTGGAGTCCCTCGGGGCTGTGTCTTGACTGTCACACTTTTTAGTGTTAAAATTAATGC